CAGCTGAGCTAAATTCCTGGCCCCTACATGTATTTTCTTTGATTAACAAAAGTACTCAGTGTACTTTAAGTCCATAAAAGGCATAAATTTGAAATATGTGTTTTAAAATATGTGTCTGCCAGTTTACAGCAATTAAACTGCCACCCACATCAAGATACGGAACATTGATCTTACATATGAATGCCATGCTGTTTACCACATAAAGTCATTTAAATATCAAGTACCTTATAAAATCTCTATCACCTAATAAGAGTTTTTATTACTTTTGTCTTACAGTGCTGAAGCCAGTGTTCTGCATGTGCTAGACAATTACTATAAGCTGTACAACCCTAGTTTTGACTGCTGCTTCATACAAATATAGGTATCTTGGATCAGAGATTAATAGTTCATTCAATTTAAGTATTATTAACTGAAAATATAACCAGTTCATGAGTGTGGTAAGTCATCTCTATCAGTCTCTTTTGTGCTAATTTCAATACTTCCTTGCCATTTTTCTGTTGCTACTTTTTCTTGGTTTTTCACTTCTTTTCTATTACAGAAACTTTGGAATGTATATAGTCCATTTTTTGTCCACAATTCAGTGAAAAATATATTTATGCACTACCATCTGATGCAAAAAATCACCCTTGCTCCCAATTCAGTGCACCAAACAGTGTTTTACCCACTCTTCTCCAACCAGTGCTTTGGAATTTTTCTTCTTACACTATCAGCATTAACATCCTGTTCAAACTTGCTAGTTTTTTCCTCTATGATTGAACAAAAAGGAAACAAAAGTGTAATATTTTCCAATTTTTTAGATAAACATTTAGAATGTCTTTACTGTTCTTGTCCACAATGAAAAAGCACTTTTATTTTACATATATTTGCTTAACAACAGGCATAAAACTCCAGGGCAAAAATAAAACAGCACTCATTTGCCCACGACACTGAATAGCTGGCATGCTCTCTGGCAGTTTACAATGACATAAATTGAAGGAGAAAGAAAGCTACATCAATTGAAAATTTTAAAGCTAGTTTACAAATCTCTTTTTCTGCGTTTTATTACTGTGTGTGTAAGGACTTTAGACTGCATGTGGATGATTTACATCAGGAATGTCCCCCCATCGCCTTACACACGCAGAGACTGGGCTTTTGGAAGGTCACTGAATCACTGGGACAAGATGGGTGACTTGTGTTTAGGTCAGAGGGGTGTCACAGGCTGTGGCCCGTAAGGGCATGCCTCCTGGCTTCCCTCGGTGCTTCCTGGACGCCTTGATGCGCAGCTTTCCTCTGACTAACCTTTCCACCAGCCCTTTCTACCCTAAAGCCAGCCAGTGGTGGAAAAAATTAACGCCCTTTAAATTGTGGGTATTATGTCTCAGTGATGAGAAGTGACTAAGACAAGCGTGCTTCTTAAGAGTTTCTGTGCTTACCAACGATTCTTTTTGTTTTGTTTTGTTTTGTTTTTGGTACCAGGAATCAAACTCAGGACCTTGAACTTGCCCTGCAGGCACTGTGCTGTGAGCTATTTCCCAGCCCCCACAATTCTTTCAGGCAGTCACCTCTCTCCTCTTCAGCTATTTTTAATTCATGTTCTCTGTTGCCTGAAGTAAGTCACTCAGCAAATTTTTCAGAGAAGATTCTCGGTCGATATCGTTTTTAACTCTTGGAATTTGAGAATATCTTCCAGTTGCCTTCATACAGAAACAATAACTTGGCAGGGTATATAACTTTTGGTTCAAAATTATTTTCCCTTAAAACTCTGTAAATGTTGTTCCGTTGACTTTTGGCATTTACAGTTGCAAAAGAAAAAGTGAAGTCAGCCTGACTTTTTCCCCTTTCTAGGTAATCTGTTTTCTGTCTGGATGCTTCTGAAAGCTTTCTTTATCCTTGAAATTTTAAAGTCACCAGGATATGTCTGGGTGTTACTTTCCTTATTAAATTTTAAAGTTTCCCTCTGAGTCTTTTCCGTTGTCAGTTCATTCAGCACTTCAGTACTGTTTCAGCTTCAATTGCTTTGTCCTGTTTTGGGTATTCTTATTATACATACATGTCCCACATCCCACATCCCACATGTACGGTTTTTCTAGTCCAGCCTTCCAGGTTCTCTTCCCTTCACCCCACTATTCCACCCCCTCCTCCCCTCCTCCTCCTCCTCCTCTTTGCTTTTTAAGACAAGGTGTCACTATGTATTTCAGGCCGGTCCTGAATTTATGGCAGTCCTCAGCCTCTGCCTCTGCCTCCTGAGTGCCACCAAGCCTGCTTTCTACTCATTTCTTATCTCGAATTCTTTTGACTGTTTCTCTGCATTGTGTGAGAATTTCTTTTGCTTTTCATTTTCTCTCTCACACATTTCCATTAACTCTTTCAAGTCCCAGAAATCTTTCAACACTATCTACCTTTCCACCGAGCACATGTTTTAATGCCTTTATTATGAGATGTTTAGCACTTCTAGCTCTTCTATGGGGGCTGGGATATCCATTCATCTAACGTCCCTCTACCTCTTCCACAGCTCTTCAGAGCAATGCAGCCCCAAAGTTACAGGTGGTTTCCTGAAACACCAAACAAAACTGAAGAACAACCCAAACAGTTCCCGAAATCTCATTTGAATAACCCACTCAGAACTAAATCAAAGCACCATTGGCAATACCTTGATACATGATTCTCTAAGACTAATGAGTAAGTTTTAAAGAAACAAATAAATGAACTCTTCCTATTTCCTATCTAAATACATTTTTAAAAAATACTTGAATCTTATTGCAAAGAGTATCGGTATGTATGACCACACGTCATGTGTAAAACAAGATAAACACCTAAGGGCAGAAGGAGATGTTTGTGTTTAGGAGGGTCTAAAATACAAACGGAATGAGTCAGAACTTTGGCCTTCCTTCTAGCTGCATTTTATTTTATTTTGTTTTGTTTTGTTTTGTTTTGTTTTTTCTGCAAGGGCCTTTACTGATGCTATGCTAATACAGCAAGGAACAAGGAGGCTGTATTTCTTTAGCCCAAACTAAGCCGGTGCAACACACAGCTACTGACTGTGAACAGAAATTAGGAGCACCTTTCCTCACTGGCTTTTGCCAGGGCCACTGGGCTGGCTGTCTCCAATGACACTTTAGGTGAGGGTGTGACCAGGAAAAAGAAGACAAGGTTACTACATCGTGTTCTAAATTTTGCAAAGCCTTAGTAGCGGTCCTTTCACATCTTCGATATGGAGCATTGGACACAGTGCCTTCTCTCAGCTGTGTCCTCAGTCTTTATTTCTTAAGACGGGATCTTGCCGAGTCACCAAGGTTGGATCGGAACTTTTAATCCTCCCACCTCAGTCTCTAAAGCATCTGCCAAACCCCCTCCCCACCTCTTTTTTTTTTTTTTTTTTTTTTGTCATATTTTAACAACCAAAGAAAAAGGAGATTCCCAAAGAAAATATATGTAAAATCTTTCAAATACTAGTGGATACTGGTAATGTTCTAAAGAATTATATACGAAATGATCTGCATTTAGCTACTTTTTATTTTAAATATATCAGAAATCTCAGAGTAAACTTGATCTGATTCAAAGTAAAGAAAAGGGATCTCCTTGCAAAGATCTCAGCTTTCTACCAAATTTAACAGCCTACATGCAAAAGGGAAAAGCAAAGGAACTTTTAAGAATAAATATGGGATTTCCAAAGGGAAAAATAAATAAATGAAGCTCTTTCCCAAACCACATAGCCAACTGACACAGAATCAGGTACAAGATTTGGGCAACAAGATGGCTTGATTTCTTTTCTGCTAGCATTCTTTCCCAGTCCCTGTACCCTACCCAGCACCTCTTCCCCCCTCATCCCCATAAAGTCAACAAAATCTTTGCTATGATTTTTAAAACCTTCTCATACTATGTGTTTACAGTACGTAATGACTGCATTCATTGGAGAGAATTTGTATGTACATAACTTTTTATGATTAATGGATAAAGAACAAAAGCAGGCATGTAATCTTCATACGTTTTAAGTTTGGATCAAATGAACTCTTCTCAGCTCTTTCCCTCTAAAGCCCCCCTGAGGATGACCCGTGGCCGACTGTGCTCCTCTCCATCTCCTCTCCTTTCTGAGGCACACTAATGGAAATCCAGGCCAGGATGAGGAGGGCTGGGGCTGCCTCCTCCCCTGACTCCCGAGCCACTTCTGCCTTGCTTCCTGCTGGCAGAAATTAATGCAAAGACATTTCTGGAGGAGCAGCTGCCGATGCCTGTGCCCCTCCCTCCTCACTCATCTCATTCTGCTGTCGCATTCTTGGGCAATATTTCAGAAGTTTACTCAGCCTGCTGCTTGCTTCCCCCACTCGCATACCTCTGCCCCCAAACAAGACATTAGGAAGGAAACATGAGAGATTGTATTTTAGCCTAATTGAACAATAGCCTGTATTTCATCTTGAGTAAGATAAATGGGCTGTCCAGCTTCACTTCTCACTTTATCTGTAATGAGGTTTCTCTCCCAACTGTTTACTGAAGTATTAAAAAGCACTTTGCAGTGCCTGCTGGTATATTCCATCAAAGAGAGTCAATAGAACAGATGAAGACATATGAGAAAGTCAAGGAGATAAGGTGCCTTTTATGAAAGTTCAGATTTAAGCCTATTAGAAGGGACTGTTTCCCCTCTATGGATTTAGTGGCCAAAACACAGCATTTTTCTCTTTGGCAGCAAAGTGTTTTTTAATAGAGCAAGACAGCACATAACAGGTTTTTCCCAGAGTCAGGCCAAAGTGAATAACTAATTGCAGTCATTAACACCCAGGTAGTAAGAAATTGCCAGAATCATGAGACCCTAATAAGCCATTAGCCTCTCTACACCGAATACGTATTTGTGGGCTCTTCTCTCACCTGCGGGGGTAAAATGTGCACATATTCTTGCTCTGACTGTCTTTAGCTGTTCTTGAAGAAGCAGCACACTGAGAGCTGAGAGCTACGAAGGTGAGCATAGGGGGTGGAGAGCCGGGAAGCAGACCCTGCTCAGGGTCTTGACACCAAATGTGTCAACTTACATGACTTCACTGCAGCATCATTTCATTTCTTACAGAGTGGAGATGGATTCTTCACACTGGCAAGCATTCCAGCAGGGGGAATGATCAACCATCTGTTCGAAGTACTGAAATTTTAATGTAAGAATTAATTTTTTATTCTTTATTGCATTATAGCCACAGTCCTCTTAGAAGCTTGCATGCGACAGTGCGAAGGCCTACATGTCTGCAAATGTAATGGGGAGGAAGCAAGCCACGCCAAGATGAAAAGTGAGCTGAAAGCCACAGCCCCAGTCCAAGGGGGAAGTCAACTTTCTGCTCTTCCGCTGAGACCCCACCAAGTATTTCTTCCTGATTCCTCCTCACATATTTCAGCAAACCATTCATTCCAGTGCAGATCAAAACCTTTACCACGTTGTTTAGTCACTTAGATTTTCAGTCTCCCCTTCTAGCCCATTAGCTTCTAAAAGAAGGGACTGTGTCTTTCTAATTGCTTTATTCCCTATCTCTAGCATAGCTCCCGGAAAATGCTCGGCACGCCATGTTTGTGTATAGGTAAATAAGTGTAGTGAATAAATAAATAAGTCTGAGAAGGCAGTTACATTGCGGTGGAAAGAGCCATAGAATAAGAGTCACAAGGCCAAGATGCAAGTGACAAATCCATTATTCTGTCAAAGTCTAACCTTTGTAGTGAGCCTCAGCGTGCTCACCGAAAAAATGCTAATATCTAGACCAAACAGGGTTATTGTGGGAAGGAAATAAAATAAAATAGGTGAAATACTGTTAAATAAATTTTAACTCTCTTATTCTCTGCCTCCTTTCTCTACATAGATGGAACATGGCAAAGGAATTCAAGAAAAGATCTAAGATACAACCTCAGATTTCTAATTTATTTAAGAAGTAAATAGTTGTGAGCCACAGTAGATAACCCAGCAGAGAAGAAAAGGGCTGATAACAACATTCAAAAGAATGTCCATAATTATGGAACTGATGGGATCAGGAGCTGAAGAAAACACTAAAGAAAGAGGATACTGTGTTACGGAGTCAATTTAACAGAAACCTATGGAACGTAATGACAAGATTCAAGAAAATAAAGACTAATCTGTACTCACTGGTATCCTGGTTCCTCAGTCTGAAGTTTTGATCATTACTTGAAGTTTCTTCCACTAAGATGATTATACAAATTCTCAGTGTATTTTTGGTAGTCTACCAAAAATGGAAGACAAACTTCTGGAGGAAAAAAAAGCTTGTCATTACTGTATATTCTTCTTAAACTTAATATTTTTAAAACTCAAAACCTATACACATTTCTTTCCAGTAAACATCAGACCAGAACAGGCAACTGTAGCAGAATAATGTCCTCTGTTCTACACACACAAATTCTGTTACTCCATTTTTGAGCTGCCTTCACGTTTGCAGCAAATGCATTGTACCCCATACTCTTATTCTGTGGTTGACTGAGACAACTACTTTTTAAAAAGTTATTAACTAAGTCAGGAGTTTTTTGACAGTATATGCATCAAAGTATTTTGAATCTAAATTAATGTTCAATTTGGATATAATTGACCCTAGTCTAACAAAAAAATTTTTTTGGTGATTCAGACATCCAAAATGTCTGATTGTCATTCCTTCTATGTCGCTATATCACTAAGGGTTTTTTTGCGTGTGTTTTGTTCTGGTTTTGGAGTTTTGTTAGTTTGTTGGTTAGTTGGCTGGATGATTGGTTGGTTGGTTGGTTGGTTAGACAGAGTCTCACTATGGAGAGCAAGCTGGTCTTGAATTCACTATGTAACCCAGGTCAGCCTTTGACTCATGGTGATCCTCCTTTCTCAACATCCCAAGTCCTGGGGTAACAGCAGTGGGCCACCACACCCGGCTAGCATTATTTTTTTTTTTTTAAGATTGATTAGCACTACACTACAAATAAAAATCTAGTTAACTATTCCTTAATCCTATATTTCTAACTTCTTAGAATTAATCTAAATAGAAATCTATTAAACTTCTTTTAGGATAAGAACTGTATATTTATCTAGCAGTATTAGGGCTTCAACCCAGGGCCTTACACTGAGATACATCCCCTTTTTGGTTTTTTTGTTTTTTAGGTAGAGTTTTGCCAACTCACTAAATTGTCCAGGATGGGCTCACACCTGTGATCTTTCTGCCTCTGCCTCACAGAGTGCTGGAATTACAGGTGCATGTTACACACTCAACTAAGAACTCTTTATTTATGTTTGTATTCCTGCTCTCCAGTCCAGGGCCTGGCAGAATGCTGTATCCAACCCTCATTTCCCTTCTCTATGTCCTTTAGAAGATTTATCCAATTCTCTGAAAGCCAGACCAACTGCAGCTTACCCTAGACTCAAATTAAACAGCAGTCTTTTAAGTAGACACTACTTGTTTCTATCATGTTCAGTGAGCTCAAACAGGTAGCGCTTTCTCTTCTCAGTTGTCATAAAACACCTGCTTAATAATCATTCTAGAATGTCGTCAAACATAAGTACCCTAATACAGTACTTGTAAACATGAACAAGTAAGAAAGCTTTTTAACCACTAGCCTTACTTCCAGGTTTTACATACGCGAAATTGAGTTTTTCTATGATTTCTTTTCAAACCCTGCTTTTTCCAGCCTCACCCAGGATGAGCATGTGAAGCAAACAGCATCCTGGACACACTGTTCCTCTGAGCCCTTAGTCTGTTCCTTTCAGCCCTCCTCTGGCATTAGGGGGCTATGAGGGTGAGCGGGGTCAGTGGTTTCAAAGTCCTCTCACTCCCGGCCTCTGATTCTACCCCAGCGCTGTCCCTGTGTGCTGCTCCGTCTCTCAATTGCTGCACCAGCTCTACACAATCTTACTGAGTCTCACATCCCAACCAGAGCCCACAAGGTGAGCCGAGCAGAGGTGGATACTTCAGCAACCCTGTCTGGCCTCGTTTCACAGCTGCTGCAGCCTGTCCTCCAAATTACAGACAGCCTTGTTGTCCGGTCAGACATGCCGCTTGCTTGCAGAAGGGAGGTCCTGAAAACTGAGAAACACATGTCTCTAGCTGCCCAGCCACCAAACCACCTATACCACCTATACCAAACCACCAGGGCAGGGCTCCACATGCACAGGAAGTGATATTGACACTCCAGTTGACCTTGGGCTCCTTATCATGATGAAAACACACTTACCGGTGTCATAAAAGATGCAACTATGCCCAAATTGATGAAGAAAAGAGGTGGCACCCTGATTCCAGGGGATCTCTATCCTTTCTTACGAAAAGCTCAGATGACAGCCTGCATATCTTATGGCCTTTGTACCCAGTCTTAAAAGTCCAAGCTCCAGAGCTGCTGAGAAGAAGGTGCCTTTAGAACATGAGCGCTCCTTCTCTACTCATAGCCATTCAATAAAATATCCTGCCTGCTCCAAGAATTGCTGTGACTGTCCTGTCTCTGCTTTTTGCAACTGGTATTAAGTAGGAAAAAGCCCTGCAAATTCAGTGAGACAGCCAAAGGTTCTCACGGCCTGACTTAGAATTTCAGGCCAGACCTGGAGGCCTAGTCAGCATTAAGTGGGCAGTAACACATTTCTGGTCAAAGTCTCTATCTTCTTTCTCTTTTGGAAAAGAATCAAGCTTCAGTTACCCATCAGTCATAAGAAACCACCATTACTGCTCATTTCATAGCAGGGCAGTTTCTAATACAATTCCCCACATGGTTACAATAAACCACCACGATAATTTCCATTTTTCAGGTTTAAAAACTATTGTACTTTGCCGGCAATTGCTCCATTTTTAAAAATAGCCTATTTTGTACCTGCTCTGTGATAACCTATTTGGCAAGTAGTAAAGGAACAAGCCTCGCTCTTCCCACCGCACTGCCAGTATCACTACGCAGTGAACAAATATTTGTTGGTATTTTCAGGCCCAAGCTTGAGGTCAGGACATACTAGTGAGCAAGCTGTGGAGCTTCTGGCTAAACAGAGAAAGCATCAGAGTAATTAAATACTTTAAAATGTTACATGTGCGATGGAGAATAATTGTCATGCAGTGATTAAAAGTTGAGGCCCTAAATATCCTGCCAGGTAGCTTTGGGGGAAGCAGCAAACCCGCAGGGAGAGGAATGAAGCATCTGCAAATTGAAAAGCAGAGCTGAGAGGTCCAGAGGGTGTGGTTCCTGCTTTCTAATTATGCTAGCCTTCTTCTTCCCTTCTTCTAGCCCTTCATAAAGCCTGGCTGCACTTCCTGCCCTTGGCTTAATATCCAGACATCTTAACTGTAAACTCCCTATTTGTCTTTTTCCTTCCTCTTTCTTCTTCCTTCTCCCCTCTTCCTTTCTTTTCTTCCTTCTTCTTCTTTCCTAAATAAAAGGTTCAGTGAAAAAACAGGCAACAGAACTGAATAGACACTTCCCAAAAGAAGAACGGAGAGGAGCCAGCCAAGAAGCCAACTAGCCAGCCTTTCTGGTAAGGTGCAAGTCCTGCAGGTACCAGGAAGACAAAAGTCAGCGCCTCCCTGTGAGTTTACCCTCGCAGGGGCTGAAATCAAACCTCTCCCTCCCTACTCCCCTCTTCCCCACCCAAGCAGCCAGCCGGTTGCGTGGACAGACTGAGTTGATAGCAACTAAGGTACAAAAAGCAACTAAATGCTTGTATTGCTTGGTTGATCGTGCAGGCCTGAGCCCAGCATCTGAGCGTCTATTGGGAGGATGACAGTATGCAATATAGCAAATATGGGGGATTTCCTTCTGTCTTGCCTTTGAAATCCAGTATTGTTCTCACTGCTTTGCTTTGTTCTGATTGTTTTACTTTATTCAATATTCTATTTTGATTGGGTTTATTATGTTTTGCTTTTGGTTTGATTTTGCTGTATCTGATGGAATGGATGGTAGCTATTGTTGTTTTCCTACCAATTGGTGTTGAAGTTCTGCACCAATTTTGCTGCTTTGTTTTGATTTGGCTTTGTTCTGTTTTGTTTTGTTGGAGTTTATTTTTAAAATTAAAAAAAGTATAAATACCAAGCAGTCTCCCTAGTGTAAGAAATGGTAAGAGTACATAAGAGTTTATAGTAATCATGATTCCCCATTACATTGCTCTGAAGCCTTATAATGTCTGCATTCATTAGTTGGAATGATTTTATCCTAGTTTGTTTGATTTTATTATCTGTGATAGTATAAACAGCTATTTTAAAGAAAACAACACATTAGAATAGCCAGAGCTGATTTAGTATCATCTTACTCTGAAGTCCTACTATGCTTTTGTTTTTCTGTTGTCTTTGGTTCTATCCTGTTAAATCTTATTGGATATTATTATGTGTGATAGTATAAACAAATTTTCTATGGAAAATGAGGTAATAAGTAGCCATTGTTCGTTCTCTGCTATTTGGTTCTGAAAGCCCTGTAATGCTTTCATTCTCTTGAATGGTTTTATACTGTTTTGCTATGCTTGATACTATCGTATATGATGCTACGCTCAACTATTTCAAAGAAAGAGACACTATGGTAGTTACTGTTAATTATGGGTTGTCTTGTGGTAAAATGCTGTCTTACTTGCATTGTTCTGATCTGATCTACTTTGTTATGTCTTCTTTTGTCTTAATCTCTTTAAAATAAAAAATAATTAAAAATAAAAATAAAAATTTTTTAAAAACTGTTTAAATTTTTAAAAAAGAAGAATGGCCAATAACTACATGAAAAAATATTCAACATTTTTGGCCATTAAAGAAATTCAAATTAAAACAACACTGAGATTGTATCTACTCTAGAAAGAATGACTGCATCAAAATATCAAATAATAACAAATACTAGCAAAACTATGGGAGAAAAGGAACACTTCAAGATTATTTGTGGGAATGTAGACTTATATAATTACTGTGGAAATTAGTATGAAGATTCCCAAGAAAATTAAAACTAGAAATTCCATTCAAGCCAACTACTTATCTTCTAAGCATCTTCTTGAAAGAGTTAGACATTATATCAGTGATACATGTATTCACATGTTCATAGCAGCCAAGTCCTATTAGTTATAGCTTAAAGCAGCCTAAATATCCATCAACAGATGAATGGTAAAGAAAATCTGATATCTATACACAATGGAGTGCTACTGTGCCACCAAGAAGGATAAATTTGAGTCTTTGGTAGGAAAATGGATGCACTTGGGACCATAATTTTAAGTGAAATATATCAGAGCTTAAACATCACATGGTTTCTCTTTTATGAGAGACTAGAAACATAAATAAAGAGGAAAAAAGGGTATATAA